ATGTTCATTTAATATTGATTGAAAAAGTCGGTCGGTAGGGGTGGGATCCGCTGAAAGTTGTTATCCCAACAGTCGTGGAACATTTATTGGTGGTAGCGTATTTGAGCGGGGCCAAGTGGTATCTTTAACCGAGGCGCCGACAGTAGTATCGCTGCGGACCACTCAGTTTTCTGTCTCCCTCCACGTTTTCTATGCGCATAATGTCCTATGACAACTGTGACCTTGGAAAGCGCACTTGGCTATTTAGCCCCGAGCATCAGGTGATGAAGTATGAACGTACTCTCACACAATCAAACGTTTTATCTCCGCTGAGCACCTCACCCATTTAAGAATCTCCTCACATTGGGAGAACCCACCGCATCTCACTTCGAGCTTTGAAACGCTTTGGCAGCACTTACTCACTATCTATCTGAGCCATCTCTGCGTGACTCCTTTCCTGCACTTGATATCTAGGTCTTGACTAGGGGGAGGGGAGTAGAAGCTTTGGCGCGTGGCCCACTCAGAGACAATCAAACAAGCTGCACTAGCACGCTTTTTTCTTCGATCAATACTGCACGGAAATGATGCTGAAGGGTAAGGATACCCCTATGCTGACTCCATACTCCGCCTAGCCATAGCCAAATGCGCTACTGTCTCAACACTCTCAGTAGTGGTTGTCCTCTAATCCGAGTACGTGTTTCGTTTCGGAACCTTGTAATTTGCGCAAATGCTGCACCTTAAGGATAGCGCAGGCGGAGTATGAAACCGCCACCAGGTACCATTAGTCTGTAGTTGCAGCTGCGCAACCACTCGCATATGGAAATGCCCCCCCTTGGAGGTGAGTGTACAGTTTGTCTATAAGTACGTTAGCTCCCATTTATCCTGTAAGAGCCAGAAACTGATGTCAGTACCTTACTAAACAAGTGTCCCAGCCCTCCACATGAACCTGATACATTGTGAGGGAGCAGTATGCGCACAACGAAAAAGGAATACGCTACTTCAACAATTCGCAAGGAACAAACCTTTAACCAGAAGAAAGTGGCAATGCGCGTCAACTTCCACCGTCGGAAAAAGGCTTCGAGTCCCTTTTCCACGCCTAGAAGAAGCACATTGATTATCGAGTCGAGTCAATAGCTTTGCACTATATGAAAATCTTCCAGAATTTCAAAGGGCAAATTAGGTTCAGTTTGTACAGTCGGGCCGATTACAGTGAACTAGTACATTTGGGAGCAGTACGGTTTTTCGCTCGACTTCGCCTTCACACGTAATTTGCAATCAAGGGTGCCGCTCAAACACCAGATGCTACTTTGTGGAGGTTTGTGGGACTCAATCTGCGATGGATGCTTCGTTGACAGCCCTCGTAAAAGTAAATAGTTCCCTTTACTCTACAACCAAACGCTTAGACCAGATATTCAAAGAGCTTCGCCCGAAAAGCTACTTTGTGGGGTTGACAAATGAGGGAGGTCGAGTTACTCTCGATTTTCATGCCAATCCACCGCAAAAATGAGCTAGATCTTAAAGCTTCAGACACGTTAGTTAGGAAGTCGTTCAGGATATTCACGCTGGCATGCGGAAACAGGCAGGGTGTTTCTCAGGAAGCTGATCTGACATACTGCCGCAATTTTACGTTAAATCAAATAGGTCTTGTAGTGGGCTTATGCCGTTTGGACGGGTTGACGTTTGGCTGCGAGCTCATTTTTAAGTGCCTAATTACCAAATCCGCTGAAAACTTGTATACAGAGGTAATCTAACATCCTGATTACACTATGACATTCATTCTTGGCAATGCCCTCAGCTAAAGCTGAACCCAGAAGATAATCGTAGTGTCCTCCATTAGCGCCAGCGCCAAGAATGAATGTCATATTTGTGAACAGGATGTTAGATTACCCCTATATACAAGTTTTCAGCGGATTTGGTGATCTAGGCACTTTAAAAATGAGCTCGCAGCCAAAAGTCAGCGCGTCCAAACGGCATTAGCCCTTGGAGTGAATGCCGACGGCACACCGTTGCAGCGCTCACCTCCCGAATGATCCCCAGCTAGCTTAGGTCTCAACCAACACATTGGACAGGTCTATCAAGGGTCCTTTGGTTGAGTCGTTCCTTAAGGGGTTACTGTTCGTTAGAAGGAAAAAATACCTGTTCGATTTGTGATCCAAATCGCTACCATACCAGCATTTGCCAAACATTCCAGATCGACACTTTCTAAAGGCGATTCACATGTGACGTAACTGGAATCAGACCAGAAATGACAGTTTGCCGTCAAAGCAGGAACAAAAAAACAACACACTCCATCCCACCTTTGTTGGCGTTTCACACTAAGATTCTCCCATGGCGGATCCATGACAACCAAATCGAAAACTTCTCCTGTAAACGTAATTGGCAGTCATAGACGATGTGCAAAAAGGAACAATCAGCAACACTTCCTGCGACAGCCGTTTGGTCTAGTTTTCCTTTTCTGTGGAGTGTTACGCGTCCCCCGCGGTTTCTGATCTCCAGGTACGATGCTACAAGTTTGCGGGCCGCCTGACGCACTAAGTGGGTGTCTTGGGTAACTGAGGATGACGTCGTGACAATAATTAATATGACTTAGATCGGTACCGCGAGACGGATCCCACGTGACGCAAGACGTTCGTTCTTGCGACTGTTGGGAACTCGCAGTCTGGGAGAATGTGCGAGGAGAATCGGCCCAACTCCCACTTGATATTTTGCCGAGATTTCGCACAAAGTGTTGATAATTGACGGCAAATGTTCCAGATTTTATTGACGATTCTTTTCTGCTAACGCTTCTCCTGTGACATCATGGGGGATTTTGCAGAGGGGCAGACAGACAAGCAACCTTCACATCAAGTTAGCGGTTTCTGTAATTAAAGGCATATGGCACGATGATTTACTTAGTCTAAAATGCTAGCAGGGTGCCATATAGTGGGAAAATGGCGAAAAAACGAAGTGAAACGGTCAAAAACCTGCGAAGAAAACCTTCGTTCTTAATGACTCAAAAAGCAATTTCGGACGAGTTTCCCGTAGGCATCTTGCCAATAACCGCTACGGTAGATACGGCTGCACGTATGTACTCATATATCCATGCAGCACCGCAGCCGCTTCATACCATCCTTCGCTTCATATTTTACTTAGCAAATGAAGCAATACGAGCATCAGGTACGGTCGTCCATTTGTGGGCGGGCGGGCGCGGTGGGCGTCCGGGTCGGTATGTTGCAGCTTGATAGGGCCTTATAAGGGTACCTTCCTTGGAAAAGGCGCTACGCAGCGCCTGCTCAGGGGCGCGGAATTCCGTCCTGCCAGGCGTATTAATCCTACTCGTCTTAGGGGTTATCGTGCCAAGTGCCTTTGAAGAGTCCTCATGTTTTGAAATGTTGCAAAGCTAATGTCGTTCGGCATAAATGTGTTCTATCCAATTGGATGGTTTCCGGCTTCCAGGAGAACTGCTTGATACTTTTACGACATCCTAAAGCTGATGGGGGTCTAGGTCGAGGCATTGAAAGTTACAACTAGGCACACCCCGAAATATCTCGCCTAAGCGTGTGCTCACGGTCCAATCTTCCAACTATAAATCTCGGGCTGGAAGGCTTATTAGTCGGAAGTGTGACGGTATTTGAGTGACGCTGACATTGCCGATCTCTAGCCTATTAGCTCAAACTGATAAGGTAAGCTATCACAAGAATGCTGAGTTATGGGCAAAAGTCGGACCACGGACGGGATTCGAACCCGCATCTTCTGCTTACCGGGCAGTTGCGTTCCCTATTACGCTACCGAGGCCACTTTTGACCACTCAGCTCAATGGCTATTTGTGCCATAGCCTTACAGCACTCACACGTTCAACGTGATGAGAGGCTATGGCACAAATAGCCATTGAGCTGAGTGGTCAAAAGTGGCCTCGGTAGCGTAATAGGGAACGCAACTGCCCGGTAAGCAGAAGATGCGGGTTCGAATCCCGTCCGTGGTCCGACTTTTGCCCATAACTCAGCATTCTTGTGATAGCTTTCGGATCGCGTACTGCGGCGTTAAACAGCAGTTATCAAACAATAACAGCTTGATAAGATAAGCGTTGAAATTGAAAATACCATTGATTGAAGCGAAATTCCGAACATCCGAGACCGAGCCGATGTGAAATGTGGCTCCCGGAGGAAGATAGTGTGTCATGGGAACGTCTTCCCTGCTTTCTGCAATATGAAATACTTCGAAATTTTTTTCTACAACCCCCTGACAACCCTAATTTCAATCTCTAGCAAGGCCCCAACAGATTAAGATCTGAGTTCCATCACAGCAGAAGAAATATGGACGGCTTAACACAAAGGATGGACAATTTCATCTACAGACTGCACAGCAGCCTACCGGTTCGGTCGTTGCTTGGGCAGAATTATCAAAGACGTAACATTACTCGTAAGATCAAAGTCTGTCCTAGAAGGACCGGCTCCTCTGTTGAAGAATCACGACTAATAGTCGCAGCATAATCACTGGAAGGGTCAGACCGTCATGAGGGAGCACAGTCCAGCCCGGGTATCTTTCTGAAAGGTGTACT